GAGGTGGAGTCTTGCTCCGTTGCCCAGGCTAGAGTGCAGTGGTGCTATTTCAGCTCACTGCAGCCTCTGCTTCCCGATTCAAGTGATTCTCTCACCTCAGCCTCCTGAATAGCTGGGATTGCAGGTATGCGCTACCATACCCAGCTAATTTTTTTGTATTTTTAGTAGAGATGGAGTTTTACCATGTTGGCCAGGCTGCTCTTGAACTCCTGGCCTCAAGTGATCTGACTGCCTTGGCCTCCCAAAGTGCTGGGATTACAGGCATGAGCCACCGCGCCTGGCCCCCGTAGAGCTTTCTGTGAAAACAGAAATGTTTTATATCTGTGCTGTTTAGTATTAGTCACTAGGTGCATGAGGGGTGAGCTTTTGAAACATAGCTAACATGATTGATGAACTGAGTTTTAAATTTTATTATATATTTTGAAATTGCTAAAAGAGTAGATTTCACTGATTGATTGATTGATTGAGACAGGGTCTTGTTATGTCACCCAGGCTTGAGTGCAGTGGTATGATCATAGCTTACTACAGCCTCGAGCTCCTGGCTCAAGTGATTCTCCTACCTCAGGCTTCCTAGTAGCTGGGATACAGGCATGTGCCACCCTTCTCAGCTAATTTTTTTTTTATTTTTTATAGAGATGGGGTCTCACTTTTTTTTTTTCCCCCAGGCTAGTCTCAAATTCCTGGCCTCAAGTGATTCTCCTGCCTTGGCCTCTCAAAGTGCTAGGATTACAGGTGTGAACCACCATGCCCAGCCAAAAAGAGTAGATTTAAAATGTTTTTACCACAAAAAAAAATGGTAAGTTTGTGAGATGATAATCCATTTGCTAATTTGCTTGATGTAGGCATTCCACAATGTAAACATATATCAAAACATCACGTTGGCTTTGGACGTGGAAGGAAATAAAAGGACTTTATGACATGGAATGAGTCCAGACACCTCAGCCTTAACTAAAGGGAGGCTTAACTAGTCCTGAATAGAATCAGAAATTCAAGAATATTGTGGGCCAGGCGCAATGGCTCACACCTGTAATCCCAGCACTCGGCTCAATCCCAGCACTTTGGGAGGCCAAATAATTGTATAATATATACAATTACTGTCAATTAAAAATAAAATATAAAAAATTCCAAAAAATTAAATAGTCACATTTGACTAACGGCTACCATATGGGACAGCGATGCTCTAGAGAATTAAGTAACACAATGGGAAAACAACCCAGCCTTAGAAATGAGGTGGTCAAGGAGACACAGCTCTTCTAGCTTCCTTTGTGCCAGCCAAGGCAAGGTTACAGAGGCTGAGCCCCATTCCTGTCCAGAGGCTACAAGGCTGTTCTCCCAAGGCAGAAGCCTGTCGTGGGTTTCCATGCCATGTTCAGCCCCCTTTCTCTTCCTGCCTGGCACCTAGGCTCACATTTTCTTTTTAATTTTATTTTAAGTTCCAGGGTACATGTGCCAGATATGCAGGTTTGTTACATAGGTAAACATGTGCCATGGTGGTTTGCTGTACCTATCAACCCATCACCTAGGTAGTAAGCCTCGAATGCATTAGCTATTTATCCCAATGCTCTCCCTCCCCCTGTCCCCATGACAGGCCCCAGTGTGTGTTATTCCCCTCCCTGTGTCCATGTGTTCTCATAATTCAGCTCCCACTTATAAGTGAGAACATGTAGTGTTTGGTTTTCTTTTTGAGATGGAGTCTCACTCTGTCACCCAGGTTGGAGTGCAGTGACACAATCTTGGCTCACTACAACTTCTGCCTACCAGACTCAAGCGATTCTCCTGCCTCAGCCTCCCAAGTAGCTGAGACTACAGGCATGCACCACCACACTTGGCTAACTGTTGTACTTTTAGTAGAGACAGGGTTTCACCATGTTGTCCAGGCTGGTCTCGAACTCCTGACCACAGGTGATCCGCCTGCTTCAGCCTCCCAAAGTGTTGGGATTACAGGTATGAGCCACAGCCCCTGGCCTGATGTTTGGGTTTCTGTTCCTGTGTTAGTTTGCTAAGGATGATGGCTCCCATCTCCATCCATGTCCCTGCAAAGGACATCCTCTCTTTCCTTTTTATGGCTACATAGTATTCCATGGTATATATGTACCACATTTTCTTTATTCAGTCCATCATTGATGAGCATCTGGGTTGATTCCATGTCTTTGCTATTGTGAATAGTGTTGCAGTGAACATATGTGTGCATGTATCTTTATAACAGAATGATCTATAGGATTGCTGGGTCAAATGGTATTTCTGGTTTCAGGTCTTGGAGGAATCACCACACTGTCTTCCACAATGGTTGAACTAATTTACATTCATACCAACAGTGTAAAAGCATTCCTATTTCTCCACAGCCTCACAACAACTGTTGTTTCTTGATGTTTTAATAATCACCAGGCTCTCATTTACCTCTTTCTCTGCCTCTTTGAGCTCCGCTTCTTTCTCCTTGACTCTCTGGACGAACATCTGTCTCATCTCCTCTTCTTTTTTCTGGAGTTCCCCTAGGAACTCGTTCCTTTTGGCCTCATATGTCTCCTGTAAACTGTGAACATGGTCAGGTTAATTCCTCTTCCTTTGGAATGGCTCCTATTTGATAAAACTGGCCCC